TCGCCAGGGATGCTGCTGCTCAGAGCGGTGGAAGGAGCCCAGATCATTCCCCAGGGAGCAGCCCACAAGTTCTTCCTTCACAAGTGACAGAGCCTTAAAAAGTGCTTCTCTCGGTAACAACCTAATTGCTGCTTCCCTGTTAGCCGCTGGTGCTCACTCTGTGCCAAGCTCTGGCTCACATCCAGCACCTCCTTGAGGCAGGAGCCAAACCCCAGACTCCCTTGTCCTAGGAACTGGTCCAGAATGGCCTTAGTAGTCAGCTAAAAGGAGTTCTGTATCATGGCCTGGGAGGCCTGGCTGCTCAAGCTTCGGCTGCCTGGGTGGGCTTCCAGTACCCCTTCTCTGTGGAGAACAGCCAAAGCTCAGCTGAGTAAGAGAACGGAAAGGTTCGTCATGGTACTGAGGTGGTGGTGGTGGTGGTGGTGGGGGTCAGAGTGCTTGCCCCTCCTTCTTCTGGGACTGAGAAGAATTTGATACCAGTAGTACCTGAGTGTCATGTGTGCTTCATTCTTAAGGAACAAGCTCCTGTTTTCTGGAACCACCTGAATTCTTGATGCCTGAGTTTTAGGTCTGCAGGTGGTTCCAGCAGGTGAGACTGGAATCAGGAAAGAGTGTGAACAAGAGCAGCAACTCCTCTTTGCAAGGAGACTTCAAGTAAAGGTTTCTTCTCTATCTTCCTTCCTTGGGAGGGACAGTGCCTGGTTTGTCCAGGCATGGCCACTCCAGTGCATCTAAGAGGTTTATTAGTGTGGCCAGGATGGGACAATTCTCTTATTTATATGTGGCATCTTTTCCTGCCAGTTTTCAAAGGTTGGGTAGAACATGTGGGAGCTCACTGCCTTCTGCAGCAGGCCAGTATGTCCCACAGACATGGACTTACACCTCAACTCTGGAGTCTTCACAAATGAGTCACTGCTAAGGGCAGCCATTTGCAAACCTCCACTTCCATTCATTTTAGCAACATTTCTTGAAGTTGCTAAAGCCCCTAAATTATGCCAGCCTTAGTTTTGCAAAACTCATTAAAGTGATTTTTTAAAAATAAATTTGAAGTGACCGACAAACAAACACTGAGGAACTCTGACCTCCAAAGGAGACGGCATCACTTGACTATAAGGTAGTTATCCCCACATGGCTCATAGTGTATTTGGTGATTTTATTATTATTATTTTTAAGTTGATGCAATGAAACAAAAATCTAAAAATTCCTTTTGGAACACAAGTATCTGCTCCTCACCCCCCCCCCCCCCTCAGGGATTTGTAGATGCCATTTTGAGGAATACTGTTGTAGAAGAATCTCTCCCCTCACAAGCAAGACTTCGATCTAAGGAGAAAACAGAAGAAGCTATGTCCTGCTTGGAGTCCCTGAACAGTTAACAATTTGGCCTTAGGTCCTGATTCTTGAGAACCTGACCACACCTGAGGCCAATGAGAGAGGGACCACCTGGGAGTCCTGGTGCTGGCTAAGCCTCCGAAGGCCATGTGGTGAAGCCAATAAAGACCTTGAAAGATAGCTCATTGGAGAGAGTGAAAAGGACAGGTTCTGTTTTGAGTCCTCTCCCGGATCTCCCTTTGTGTTCATATCCCTTTTCCTTCTAGGTTAAAGATAGCCCTTTTCCCTGCATTTGTGAGTCATTCCATTGGATTATTGAACCTAAGAAATAGGGAAGGGGCTGTACCCACTAACCTGGCCCCCAGTGAATGGAGATGAGAGAGAAGGGACCAGAAAGTACCCCTTGATCTAGCTCTGGGTGAAAGAGATGAGAGAGCAAGGACTGCCTGGAACAACTGGCATCTGAACTAACAGGGACGGAAACAAGATTCCAGGGACTGCTGCTGGCTGAGAGACTGGAGGCTCCCATTCAACAGAGACACTTTAGAATAAAGGCCTTGTGACATACTTTGGAAAAATCAGTCAGTGAAAATCCTACAGATTACAGTTCTATTCTAATACACACGGGGCTACCATGAATGGGACTGGCCTTGATGGCAGCTGGTAAATCCTGCTTGGGCTGAGGTTCACATAGCAGTCAGACTAAACAAGGAAAATCCATATGATCACACAACTGAGTTGGGAGGACCTTGTTGACCCTTTTCTCCAAGGCCCATCTGATTCATGATTCTGTCTTTATACCATTCTGTTGCTAGATGGCTCCTGCTCACACTATACTTTGCGTAAACTAAGTCAAAGTGACTCATCTAGAATTTCCATTGGCTTTTGTCTGGACATTTGGAGTCATATTAAGTAAAGCTCCAAAGATATTGGGGCCAAGTACATGTGGGCCTGATTTGAGCTCTTGGTTTTTTTTGTGTATAAATGGATGTAAGAAGTTCACTGGAGCAGCCCATGAATTTACTGTTTTGCTTCTGAAAAAATACATGCATTTCTCACAGATGGAGAAATCCTTTTGTTTTTGTCACTGAGCAGAGACCTGGAGTGACTGAAGGTGTCAAGACTCACAGATGCAAACACAGGAAGGAACGTACAGATAGATAGATGGCTGATGACTACAGGCAGGGAATCTTCTACAGGGTCAGAGACAGGACACAGAGGGGCAGGTGAGAATTTCAGCACAAGTGCCTGGGTTGAAGACCCACGCTTGTCTCCAGATGACATATTCATGCTGCTCCTGTCTCCCCTCATGCTTGAAGAATGAGTCCCGGCGCTATACTTGATTTGCTGAGCCAGAGATTTATCAGACTTCTGGCAGTGCTCTCACAGGGTGGCTATGGGTTGGAATGGACTTGTTGGCACTTAACAAGATTGTTCAGTAAACTATGTGAAATCTTTCAGCTACGTGAAACTGGGTAATTAAGTGTAGCTGTCAATGATGTTTAAAACACACACAGGGATTGACTTTGGCTCTGTATGTTTAGAGGATTGGTGGCTTACTTGTAGCCTACATCCTTCCTCCTACTAGTGATAAGCTTGGGATACGCCCCTATGTAAGATAGGGCTCATCAGCTGCCTCAGTTGGGGAGCCTAAGACAATAGAACATGTTTGGCCCACACCACTGTTGCACTTACTCAGATGTGCTGTTTCTTCCTTGACTAGAATAAGGACTCTAAGTTTCCTTAGATTCTTGGGTTGTCAGAGCCCAACACAGCCTTCCTCTACTGACATTGCTGTGTGGTGTTGCCTGGGGAGTAGAGGTGGGTAGGAATATCCCCTTTGTTCCACTGTATTTCATGGGGACAAAGCAGACTCCACTCAATCCTTTTGGGTCTGAATTCTCTGTAAATCCTAATTTTTTTTCTTTTTACAAATAACATGCTTTTTTAGAATCACCTCTAGAACTAGAAAGCAGGATTTAATCAGAAGAGTGCAAAGAAGACATTCAGGACTCTGTAGGTGAAAATGCAAATGTTGCTGGACTGGGGCAGCAGGCAGGTGAGAAGGAAAGGTAACTTGCTGCCTACATTTTCTGCCAGCACTGCCCAGACAACCAACGGTCACCCCTGTCCAGATGTGTATAGTGAATCACCATTCAGTCATTGGATCTGTGAGGAACACTCAAATACGGAGAGCAGGGACTAACTTGACTTGCATTTTCCCCACTGGACAACCTTTCCTATGAACTGATTTTTTTTTATGCTGATGGCTGAAGAACTTAAGTGGTTTGCATTGATGTTGATGTGGGAGTCAGTTAAGACTGGACAGTCAATTTCAGTTCACTGGACGTAGTATTAAACCCTCCCACAAACCACTTCTTTGTACTCCTACTGGGGGCAGATCATGGTGCAGGATAGCCATGGGGCTGAGCTATATGGTATTTCCACAGTATCATCAGAAGAATAGTGGGGAGCAGGAATTGGCGAAGTCTCAAAGTGGCACCTTCTAGACAGTGTTTTAAGAAAATAGATACGTTGCTACAACACTATGAAGAGAAGATGTTAGAAGTAGCCGTGTGAAGGCAAGACTAAGATACATTCAAGGATGATATCGAGGTGACATCTAAGCTTGTGTGCTAGCTCCCCATGCCCAGGCATGTAACCTCGTGGAAGCTACTTCCTATGTGGTCTAAGATTCCTCAGTGTCTCACTTAATTTTTGTCTTCTTCTCAGTTCCATTACTCTTTACACGGTATATAACGCAAAGAAATCTCATTTTTGAATCACAACTCCAAGACCTTTTGTTTGAAGGGCAGTTTTCATTTATTAACGAACCACAGAAAACAGCACAAAACGACCAAGAAAGATAGATAGGGGTTCAGTCTGCCTGATTTTCCCATAGATACTGGAATAAACCCTCCCTCTGAGGGAAAGTCAGTTTTACACAGGGGCACAGTGTTTCTCTGCTTTTGTATTATGGGTGGGAAACGCTCCCCCACTTCTCTCAGGCTGCTATGGAGAGTCTCCCTCACAGGCATAAACCTGTACATTTAAGACTTATAAACAGGACTCTTGACAAACATCATCCCACTTTGCAACTTTTCACACCTCTGGATGATTCATTTTTATTTTAATTGAATTAGCACATTTAGAGACAGACAGAACACCCAGCCCATTAGATACTATTGTTATTTTCTTCTCTGCTGCTTAATAGACTAGATCCAGGTTGATTCCTCACTCAGAAAATAAGACCTCTGATATTCAGAATTTTCACAAGCATGAACATACATTATCTAATCTGATCCTCACGACTGCCCTGTGAGGTAGACAGGACAGGCATTCTGGTTATAGGATCCACAGAACAAAGTCGTAATTGGTGGAGATCCTGACTCTTGTTCCAGAACCCCTTCCACTCCATATAATGAGCTGGTGAGCTGACTTTACTATAATGAGAAGAGCCGCCTTGCTGTGTACACTAGATTAATTATCCTTTGAGCTTGCAAATAAAGGGGATTTTAAGTACAGATCTTGTCAGGGAGCTCAGGGGATATAGGCACCTGAGCTCAGTTAAGTATCAGAGGGATGAGTAGGACAGAATATTGACATCTTCCACAATGATTTCTTCTTGTTTGGATTCTCACCTGGACCACGGCAGGTGCCGTGAGTCGAGAGCAGCAAATTCCAGAAGGAGGGAAGGCATTCAAAGGATTTTCTCATCTATCAATTTATTGATTCCATCACAAATCCTCTTGAGGTTGGGCCTACAGTCTCCCTCCAGACTATAGAGGGTGGAGAGGAACTCCACATCGGCAAAGTGGTTGAAGACGTGGTTGATGCGCCCGTGGGTCCTGGGCGTCAGGTGTCGCTGCACCAGTTCATGCACCAGATCCTTGCACTCATGCAGAAGTTTGGAGAGCACGTTCCTATCAAAGGTATACTCCACCTCATAGAAGCTGACAATGGTCATGGCGGTCTGGTTCAGTTTCTTCCTGAATTTCTCCACGATAGCAACCTCCTCCTGGTTGAACTGGTTGTTCCGGTAGAGGATCCCAATTTTGATTGCTACTTTGATTAAGTCTTTCATGATCTTGTGAGCTTCCTTCTTGTTGTGGGTGTGCTCTTTGGTGACTTTGTAGAGCTCATCAAAGATCTCACTGCTGGTGTCGTCAATCAACATGTTGGCCACAGTTTTACTAGCTATTTTACTTAAAATCTTCTTCTGGGCTTGAAGAGCAAGGCTCTTTGAACTGAAAACATCAGGACCTATGGCAAGGAAAGAAATAGAAGTTACAGATATATGAGAACTGTTTACCGCCAACCTTGTAGTTCAAACCAACCCTGTGGTCCAGTGTTTATCCTACAGCACCACACCAGGTACCCTAAACTCTCTAATTAGACCCCACCCCAGTGTCCTCTCCACATGCCACACTTGTTTCCACTTGTGACCTTTCTAAACTTGTGCTCTTCCCTCTGCTAGAGGTAGAAGTGGCCTCCTCTTGCCTAGGCCCAAACTCACTGTTTTTCATTCACTTCATGCATAAAGCTTTCTTGACATTGTTAGCTCACAGAGAGATCCTTAAATTGCTATTGCATCGGAACAATCCATTTTGCAAATTCTTGCTCACTGGCTAGAATGAAGCACTAATGTCAACCCCATTCTCTTAGCAGACATGGGTATTGATCATGGTGGTCGTTTTGACTGAGTCGTAGAATTCATAGTCTAAGATATATGTTTGTACTTTGACGTCTTAGAAATTGGAATGTATCTTATAATCATTGTTGTCAGGCAGCAGTTGTGTTGTAGTTGTTGTAACTTGTGTACACATCAATTTCAGGTATCAGAGATACAGGAGAACAGTCAGGAAACAATTGAGCACTCTTGTAAGAAATGTTGCCTCATCAATACTCTCAGGGCAGAGAAAGGAACCCTGTGGAAAACAGGCAGCAATGACTGACTTCAGAAGAGCTAGACTCTGAATGTAAAAAAGCCTTAGGAAAACTGTAGCCAATTTATTTCACTGCTATTTTCTTAATAATGAACAAGAGCAATATATGTTTAAAAACTATGTCTAAAACAGATTTTTCAAGAAGTATAAAATAACAATCCTAAATAATAAAAAAGCAAAGGTTCATGACATTTTTTTCTTACCCACCTGTTATTGAGTCTATTCCAGCTCGTGGGGACCCCATCTATGTCAGAGTAGAACTGTGCTCCCCAAGGTTTTCAATGGCTGCTTTTTCAGAATGAAAAAGTGCCTTTGGTAGACTTGAAGAGCCAGGAGGAAGTACAGGGCAAGCAACTCTCAGAAGCTGAGTGCTTTAATTGTTTACAACACTTTTCTTTTCGTTCTTAAGAACATATAAAATAATGACATTTTACAGCTGATACTATCTTAGATTTGATTAAAGACTCCACAGCCTCATCAATTGGCTGGAGTTGGCATTTGAATCGAAACCCACCAGCCACCCTAGATCTCAGTAGGCATGCTTCTTATTTTTCCAAGGAGAGTCAAGTTGCCTGAGATCACAAAGCACCTACTAAGTTCTGGACACAGGGATGGAATTGCTAGCTATTTGTGAGTAAAATTACAGAGAACTACAAGGGGTGAGACAAAAAGTAATGCTACAAAATCATAGAAGCCTTTATTAAACAAAAATCACAAAACATGAAGGTATTGTTTCTGGCCATATATTCTGCATCTAAGTCTATGAATGGAACGAGGGATGTGGAATGAGGGATAGCATTGCTGACGTCAAATGGATATTGGCTGAAAGCAGAGAATACCAGAAAGATGTTTACTTGTGCTTTATAGATTATGCAAAGACTTTGGACTGTGTGGATAATGACAAGTTATGGAATACATTGCAAAAAAATGGGTATTCAAGAACATTTCATTGTGCTCATGAAGAACCTGTACACAGACCAAGCGGCAGTTAATTGAACAGAAAGGGTTGTATCCTTTCATGTATTTATTCAACCTATATGCTGAACAAGTAATTCAAGAAGCTAGATGATATGAAGATGACTGTGGTATTAGGATTGGATGGAGACTCATTAACAACCTGTAATATGCAGGTGATACAACTTTGCTTGTTGGAAGTGAAGAAGATCAAAGACCTTTGGTATGGGTTGTGCCTCAATGTAAAGAAAACAAAAATCCTCACCACATTAATAACACCATAATAAATGGAGAAAATATTGAAATTGTCAAACAGTTCATGTTGCTTGGATTCAGAATCAACACTTATGGAAGCAGCATCCAAGAAATCAAATGCATTAGGCAAATCTGCTGCACAAGCATTAGGCACAAGCATTTGCATTAGGCAACTCTGCTGCACAAGACCTCTTTAAAGTGTTTGAGGACTAAGGTGTGCCTGATTCAAGCCATGGTATTTTCAATAGCCTTATATGTATGTGAAAGTTGGAGAATGAATAAGGAAGACCTTAGAAGAATTGATGTATTTGAGTTACAGTATTGGAGGAGAATAGAAAGTGCATGGACTGCCAGACCAAACAAATCTGAGTTGAAGGAAGTACAGTCAGAATATTCCTTAGAAGTCAGGATGGCAACGCTGTCTCTTCATACTTCGGACATATTATCAGCAGGGACCAGTCCCTGGAGAAGGACATCATGCTTGGTAAAGTGGAAGGTCAGTGATAAAGAGGAAGACCCCAACAAGAAGGATTGGCACAGTGGCACCAGTGGCAGCTCAAGCGTAACAATAATTGTGAGGATGGTGCACGACCGGGCAGTGTTTCATTCCATTTTGACAGGGTTGCTATAAGTCAGAGCTGACTCAATGGCATCTAAGGACAACAAGTCTATACAATTTTGAAGGCACTGTTTGTGGTGCTGTAGGATAAGCACTGGACTGAAAGGTGGATTGGAACTGCAAGGTCGGGGGTTCAAACTCAACGGCTGCTCCTTGAAAACCTCATCCAAGGAACTGACTTGAGGGTACGTAACAACAATCCTCCCTGAAGAATCCTGCTTTCTTTGAGTTACATGTCAAAACAGCAATTCTGGCATCCCTGAGGGGCTCAAATTGTGTTCCTTTGAAATACTGAGTTTGGGGAACAAAAAATAAGACTGAAGGGGCAAAATCAGAACTGTGGAGCTAATGGGGGGAAGGTTTCCCAATGACCTTCTCAGATTCTGGTAGGTCAGCCCTTGCTGCCATTCATGAAAAAAATCTCTTGGTACTTTTCTGTCTCTTTTTCCACTAATGGAGTTTTAAGTTTTCTTAAAATTTCATAATTCGCTGTTATCATCCTGTGTCCTTTGAGAAAAATCTGTCAAGATTACATACGTAGCCCTTTGGAATCCAAAAAACAAACAAAAACACTCACCATAAACTTCTGAGCTGACCTCTTTGCCTGGAATGAGTATCTGAGATCTCCCTGACCGTCCTTAAAACATTTGGTCCATCTAAAAAATGTTGTTTTATGTGGGACAACATTCCCATAAATTTGTTGCAAAGTTTCAATAATTGAGAAAGATGCCCACTTGTTTTGTCAAAACTTTGATATTAACCTTGATGTCAAAATCGTTTTTTCCAAAGCATAAAAAGTATCCCTTGTTTTCAAGGCACGCTAACAAAATTAAGTGTATTACTGACAGAACTTGTCTGCAGCCATCTAATGATTGCAAAGACATAATTAAATACATTTTGTTTGGAATAAACTTGTGCATGTATGAACTGGAACCCCAGTAGTAATACTTTTTGACTTACCCTCATATTTCAGTAGAATTATAAAATCATAAGATGTACTGTACATGAAACTTATACTAAGAAAATACAATTTTCCTTTGAGAACTTAGTGTCCCCTAGAGTCTCACAGAACTTTGGGGTTGGTTTTATAGCCCCAGTCAGTGTTTTGTGGCTACACAAAAGTAACTCTGGTAGTGTACTAGATACAGACTGGGGTGCTAACTTCAAGGTCATCAGCTTGAAACTACCAGCAGTTCCACAAAAATAAACAGCTTTGGCAACTCTATGCAGGGTCGCTATGAGTTGGAACCGACTCCACGGCACGTCACCACCAGAAGTGGCAGATGTGATAGGTGTTAGCATGGCCAGCTAGATGGCCTGACATGCTCTCGCTTCTGGTTTCCTTGGTTTGGCCCCTCCCCAGATTATAGCCCACCTGCTCTGCTCAGTCCAGGCCCATTTCCTCTGTGGTCAGGGATTGGTCATGGATGCTGAGGCCTCACAGACACAGACTCAAGAAGCACTCAAATACACTTCAAACACAGGCCCAGCACTCCTTCCACACCACACACCCATTCCTTCAGATTGGCCTAGCAGAGCCGCTTCAGCCATAATTCTTCCCAAGTCCGAAACTTCTACTCTAGGGCCTCTTCTGGCCGCTGGTCCCTGGGCGACATGGTGTGGAATGGAGTGGCTGCACTAGGATCAGACATCTGTCCCCACCACCCTGGAAACATCTGCCACAAAGTTAGAGGGCACAGAATCTCCAAGCAACTTCATAGACAGGTAACCTGCATATGCCAGCATTTTCCCTTCAGCCTCAGTGTAAGGAGAATAAGCACTTACTATGTACACTATATAAGGAATAAACTGTCTCATGTCACGTCTTTGCTATGAAAAAACTCCAACAGCCTTGACTGACACTCTTCCAGAGTTTGAGACAGATATTACTGCCCAGTTTGGTCACGTGATCTCTGTCTGCATTACCTTTGCTCCCGAAAAAAATCAAATTTGTCCTCCAAAGACAAATATTTGCAAGCATTAAGGATGTTCAGAAATTGTGCTGTATGCTTTGAAGTCAATTCCAAAGCAGAAGCTTAAAGATTTTTAAGTAATGGTTCTGTCACAGACATAAATGTGTGCTTCCTCAGGCAAGTATTTGGATGGGGTGATGCCATTGAGACGCATCTGTTTTAGAACATAAAAAAATGAGTCATTTCTTTGTAGTCACAGTTTTAAGAACAAAGTTATTTCCAAAAGCTCTCTAGAAAGGTAGCAAACATGCATTTACACAGGAGCAATGGAATGCCTGAGTGGTGCCAACAATTAACGTGCTCAGCTCTAACAGAAAGGTTGGAGGTTTGGATCTGCCCAGAAGTAGAAAGGTCTGGTATTCTACTTTTCAGCCACTGAAAACCGTAGGAAGCAGTTCTACTTGGACACACATGAGGTTCACCGTGAGTCACAATGGACTCCTTGGCAGCTGGTTATTCGACTTCATCCATGGAATTTTAATTAAAAAAAAATTGTGGTGAAAATATACATGATAA